TCCCGGCAGCTCCACTTCCCATCCAGCTCCCTGCTTGTGGCCTGGGAAAGCAGTCGAGGACAGCCCAAGGCCTTGGGACCCTGCACCTGTGTGGGAGACCTGGAGGAAGTTCCTAGCTCCTGGCTTTGGATCGGCGCAGACCAGTTGTTGTGGTCACTTGGGGAGTGAATCATCGGATGAAAGATCTTGCTCTCTGTCTCTCCTCCACTCTGTATATACGCCTTTCCAATAAAAATAAATTAAATCTTAAAACACAGTAATGCAGAGGAATCCATTTATTGTACAAATTTAAATACTGCAAAGTGTTTTAAGAATTTTACTTGTTAATTATCTGATTGCAGAATTACAGAAAGAGACAGAGGGACAAAGAGAAATCTTCTATTTGCTGGATCACCCCCCAAATGTCCACGAAGGCTGAAACAGGGCTGATCTGAAGCCAGGAGCCAGGAGCTTCCTCTGTGCTTCCATATTGGTGGAGAGACTCAGGCACTGGGCCTTCTTCCACTGCCTTCCCAAACACATCAGCAGGGAGTTAAATATGAAATGGAGCAAATTTGACCTGTACTGGTACCCGTATGAGATGCTGACAGTGCAGGCAGTAGCCCCAGCAGCTATGCCACAGCGCTCATTCCAATTCTTGTAAAAGTTAATTGAAATCTTTCTCCCTTGTCTCGTTTCTCTTAAAGATTGTATTTATTTACTTACTTGAAGGATAGAGTAGGAGAAAAGAGAGAGAAAGAGACTTTTCAGCCACTGGTTCATTCCCAAAATGGTCCTAACAGTCAGGGCTGGGCCATGTGCTCTCAAAACTGCTCAAAAGAATCAGAATTGACCTTCCGCTGGGGGTGAGGGGTGCTGAGGAGTTCTGAGCACCTAGGGGTGGGCGAGGAGGCTTGGGTGCGAGAGCACAGCAAAGCATTCAGAGCCGGAGCTTCCAGCCGCGCAGCCTGGGGCCGGATGATGTGAATCTGCACAGGAAAAATGATGAGGGTGGTTGTCAGGGTGTTTGGAGGAGGGGAACACGAAGCAACCGGGCCTGGAAACTCAAGCTGAACAAAGATTTGATATTGTTTAGCCTGTTGATCCTGACAAAATGCCCATCATTTATCTATAAACACCACGGCGTTGCTCTGTCTCATGAAGGTGCCTGTTCCAGACAAGCAAGCAGCATTTGTTTTTGTCTGTGCAAAAGATTATGTTGAAGAGGATTCAGCTTAAAAGGCTTCTCCTATTTCACTGTTCCATCTTTTAAAGGTTTATTTTTTGTTTGAAAGGCAGAGTTACAAAGAGAAGGACAGACACAGAAATCTTCCATCTGCTGGTTCACTCCCTAAATGGCAGCAAAGGCAGAGCTGGGAGCATCAGAAACCAGGAGCCAGGAGTGAGCAGTTTCTTCTGGGTCTTTCACCTGGGTGCAGGGTCCCAAGGACTTGACCCATCCTCTCCTGCCTTTCCAGGTCTATTAGCAGGGAGCTGACTGTGTTCCATCTCTTAAATTTGATAATATTTGCCAACACAAAGGGCATTTGTTAAATCAGATGTTTTATTAGTTGGGATGCTTTTATTTCCTCATATTTTTAAGAAATGAGCATTTACTCGTATAGAGGCCTAACAGTACAAAGTCGAGATCACATTGGTGACTATCCCTGGCCCATTGGAAGATTTAGAGAAAAATACCACGCCCAGCTCTGACTCTAGGCTAATTGCATCAGACTTTTCCTGTCCCGGGGCATGGGTCGGGGGCTGGGCAGGGGCATCTGTGTTTTAAAAGCTCCTTGAATGTAATTCCAATGGGCAGCCAAGATCAAGAAACACAGTCCTAGCTTCACCATTTCATTTGAAGACCAGAAAAGAGAAGTTGAGATGAAGTTACTTGATCAAGGTTGCACAGTAATTGTCTCAGCCCTCCTGACTCCTCAAATTGTCAATCTAGAGTTTCTTCCACTTCCCTTCTTTATCTCTTCTAAAATGTAGGGTTTTACTGACCATTAAACAGACACAATTTATAATGCAGGGAGAAAGGCCAGAGTCCTTCCACAAGGGCTGGTGGGTCACCTTTCTGAGGCTGAAAGTCACAGTTTCTCTGAAAAACACTCTACCCAGGACACATTTCCTGCCGAGTCTTGTGCGGCAATCAAATGCTGAGTAATGATGCTAAGACGGTGATGACCCTACTCAGGACTTGTTTTACCTGTGACAGAAGACATTCATAAACAAGTGTTCGCACTTTCAGGTATGAATTAAAACAAATGCGGGGTTCTTGAAGGGTACGGTGGGGACTCAGAGGTTCTATTTGATAACTAGGGAACGCTGTAAATTTCACAGAGGAAAAAACATGTATTCAGAACTAATCAAAATCACTCAAGTAAAACCTCGGAACGTTTTTCCTTACATCGATGCGTCTAAGGCATCACAGGACGACCAGCCATTGTGCACACGTGCTGATGCAGTGTGACTGCATGGAGCACCCCCTCCCTGACCCCCTCAGTGGACGCAGGAGACAAAGACAAACAAAGCCTGAAACAGTTCTCCCACCCTCCTTCCTCCGCACCTCTACCCTCCCCAGCCTAATTGGATATCCACAGGTGTGCATCCCTTTCAACTATGTAAACAATATTAAAAATAAATACATACACATGTATAAATATTCCATTAGATTATTGAGGATTCATGAGACTTTCTGCATCCCTATCCAAGCTCATTCATAAATCCTAGATTAAGATTTTTTCCAGGCCGCTGCCCTCAGGGACGCTGGCCGCCCGCGTGCTGGCCCAGGCTGAGGCTCACAGCCGTGGACGACTGCATTGTGATCTCGGACGACAGCGGCCCCGAGAGCTGCGGGCAGGCCGCTTCGAGCCGGGCATGAGGCTCCACAGGACCCTGTCTCAGACCTCTGGCGCGCTGCCCTGCCGCACCGTGGTATGGACAATGGCAGAGAGTCCAGCATCCTACTGTCAAGATATAGTTAACAGTTTCATTGGGAGTCCATCTTTAATGTGGAAGTGGAGATGCATACTGCATTGTATCCTCACATCTGGATATGTTAGTCTCCATTACACAGCTACTATACATCCCCTTAAATGAAAAGCCACAAAACAAAATCACCAGCAGGAAGAAAAAAGAAATTAACAACATCATGAAGTTAAACAACATGCTGCTGAATGACTACTGTGTCGCTGAAGAAATGAAAAAGAAAGTGAAGAACCTTCTTGAAGAAAATGATGCTACTGTATGATCTTTGAGTCAGTGAAGAATTTAGTGAGAAAGTGTTTTGAAGAAATGAAACTAAAACCAAAACCATCAAAATTCATGACATATATTTTCCACTGATCTTTGTTGGTGAGAGATATATCTCCTGCAGGCAACAAATACATGGGTTTTGTGTTTTAATCCAGTCTAATAATCTATGACTTTTGATTGATTTAATCCATTTACATTCAGGCTTAATATGAATGGGTGGTAATTTGGTCCTGTCACACCCAAAAGAATTATTATACAGACAATTTCAGTGAGCAAAATGTATTTCTTGCAAACATTACTTATTTTACTTGAAACAGTTAGAGAGAGAGAGACAGAGAACTTCTGTCTGCAGGTTCACTCTCTACCTGCTACAGTGGCCAGAGCTGGGCTGGTCCAAAGCTGGAACCAGCTTCCTCTGGATCTCCCTCATGGGTTCAGGGTCATAAGCACTTGAGCCCTTCTCTACTGCTTTCCCAGGCCATTACCACGGAGCTGGGCGGAATATGTATGTTTCTTTTTTAAACAAAGATTTATTTTATTTATTTGAAAGTCATAGTGCTAGAGAGTGGGAGAGACAGGTCTTTCATTTGCTAGGTCACTTCCCAAATGTCTACAACAGCTGGGGTGGGTCAGATAGGGGTCAGGAACTCCACTGGGGTCTCCCACATGAGTAGCAGGGACTCAGACACAAAGGTCCTGCTGCTTTGCCAGGCCTAATAGCAGGAATCTAGATTCAGGAAGTAAACTCAGCAATGAGCAATGGGCTGGTCCAGGCCAGAGCTCCACCATGCAATTGCAAGCCTGTGCATTTTCCACGAACTTTTTCATGGCCTGTCCTACAAGAACAGTGGTTCTCTTCAGATAGTGGGGGATGTGGGTAATCATTATTTTCCCTTGCTTTTAAATTTTATTTATTTTTTACGTGAAAGAGTTTCAGAGATAAAGGGAGAAGGAGAGACACAGAGAGATTTTCATCCCTAGTCCACTCCTCAAATGGCTGTAATGGCCTTAGTCGGGCCAGTCTGAAGGCAGACGCCAGGAGCTTCTAGGTCTCCCACGTGGGTACAGGGGTCCAAGAACCCGGGTCATCCTCTGCTGTTTTCCCAGACCACAGGCAGGAAACTGCATGGGAAATGAAGCAAGTGGATGCCGGTACTGCAAGCTGAAGATTAGCTTGCTGTGTGTGCCAAGGCATTGGCCTCCTATTTTTCCCTTTTTATCATTATTTTATTTATCTCACATTTTTCTTCCTGTATTTAATAACGGTACTTCCTCTTTCTGAGCTCAGTGTCTCACTCTGAGAAACAGGGTGTTTGTTGTAACCAGGCGAATTTCAGGACCATGCCTTGCTTCTGTGGTCAGTGGTTCCGTGTCACTCCCTAACTCTGTCGCCATCGGCTAGCTCCTTGGTGCACCTAAAAGCGTGCATTGTAGTGGTAAAAAGTGAAGAAGAATGTATTATTTTTCTAGGCATGACCTTGAGATACCTAGGAACCGCTTTTATAGCAGCAAAATTATTTTTTTTTTCTTCAAGAGATCGGAGTAGAAATAATCTCTGTACAGCCCTGAAAAGTTCTTTCGTTAATCTGAGAAGATGCCGTCCGCGCCTATCGCTTACAAGCGGAGAAATGGTTGTGAACCAAAAAGCCAGGGCGTGGTCACCCCGCCCACTGATCCTACATCACCACCCCTCTCGCTTTCTTCGAGCGCAGAGATAGGCTGAAAACAAGAAAGAGCCCCGCCCCTGGTCTTATGACTTGCGCTGAAGCGCCGACTCCTGGTTCTTGCAGCGCTGTGGTCGGTGGTCGGCGGTTGTCTCTCAACTCCGGGCGAGCCTCTTGGCTGTCGTGGTCGCCAACCGTTGTCGCCTCCTGCTCTGTGGGATCATGCCGCGCCCCGGTCTCTCCCCAGTTCAGGGCTTGGGATTCGTTCTGTTCTGCCTGGTTCTCGGTGAGTTCTCAGGCCCTCCCGCTTGGTGTTGAGCCTGGGCCCGGGGCTCCGGTTCGAAGGCCACTACTTGAAGGACTGTTCCCGCAGAAGGGGTGGGGTGTGTGTGTGTGGGGGGGGATGGCGTTTGAGAGGCCCCGCCGCTGATACTGGGCGGAGGCTGTGGCTCGGCCGAGGCGAGCGGTGACCTAGAGACGGCCTGACTGACGGGTGGCGGCGAAGAAGCGACCGCGAGAGTAACTAGGGGCAGATTCGGGGCGGGGGCGGGGCGCGTGGACGCCGAGGGAGTCGTCGAAGAGTGGGGCTTGGCAGAGGTCTGTGGAAAGACCAACTTGAGGAAGACTCTAGGGAGTGAGCGCGGGAGGGCGGGACCTGGCAGATTCTGGGGCGGCAGAGGCAATTAGGAGAGTCCTAATTGCCCTGGATCAGGGAAGAGCTTGGAAGGCGACTGAAAAAATATTGTGTGAAGTGAGAGAGAAATTCGAGAAGAGAGACTGCCTGCGTGGAATAACTTGGGGGGTAAAACGGGGGCGGCGGGAAGGGAGGAGACATAGGAGAGAGCCTGGAGGGCCAGGAAAGGGTTCCTGGGAGTTGTAGGTGGGACTTTGAGAATATGAGGAAAAAGATGATTTAAGAGATGAGTAATGATGCTGGATTTTGAGTTTGGCAGTCGAAGTTTTGAGACTGAAGGGACCTTAAACTGGCTGAGGCATTGTCCTTTGCAGTCTTTGGAAAACGGACGAGTGGGAGACTTGGGTATAGAATGAATGTCCTATGTGGACGGGTTAAGAATACTTTTTCAAATTAATTTTGCTGCCAACTCCCTGCCAGAACCTGATCCCTCCCCCTTCCCACACTGAAAAAAAAAAAAATCCAGACATATTTGAGGCTAGAGTGTCTCTCCGAGGACAGCTCTGGGGGACTGGCTGCTTCTTCCTCGTGACACAGCCAGGTGGGTGAGTTCAAAGTTGGTTGTTAGCAGGTGTCGTAATGGAGCTTAGCTGATTGTGTTCTGCCAGAACAGGCCACAGGTCCCCAGAGCTCTAATGCATAAAGCTGACCTTTGACCAGTGTCTCTTCCTGTGACCTCATTCATCCTGTGCTTGTCGCTACCCACTGGCTCTTGCTGTTTGTGACACAATACAAAACCAGAAGGAATAGACCCCAGTGGGAGTGGGGACGATACAGACGTGTTTGGGGGTGTTGGAGAAGGTAGTAGTGGTACTGGTACGCATTTTGTAATTCTCATTTCAGTAGAGTGAAATGACCTAGAACAGTGGATTCTCAAGAAGTGAGACAGTCTGGAAATATTTTTGCTTGTCTTGCGGGGGCAGTAGTGGCACCCAGTGAACACAGGCCCAGCATATTGGTGGATACCCTGCCAGGCACAGGGTAGGTCCTCAAAACAAAGACTTATCTGCCTCCAGAGGTCACTGTGCCAAGTTGAGCAGCCCTGTTTCAGAGCCATAGCGTTGGGAAGGTTCTGGAACCCAGTGATTTGCAAGGGCCTTTCCCAGGGCTCTGTGGATTCAGAACTGCAGAAAACTACTCAAATGTTTGCGTTTTTCTGTCCTCTCGCTAGTGTATAGTGAGGCCAAATAGTGCATGATGGCTGCCCATTCCCACGGCTCTGATGTTCATGTATTTTATTTTTCAAATTGAGTTTCTAATATGGTAAATGCTGATGGATGCAACTCCCATCAGCCTAAGTTGTGTAAAGTGCTTTGTAAATAACAAAGTGAAGCCCTCTTAACAGCAGCACTTTTTTTGTTTTTTGTTTTTTTTTTGCAAGTCCAGGATCTGGTGCAGTTTCCTCAGGGTGTAGGAAGCCCTTGTGTAGCACCTTGGTGGAAGATTTACTTCAAAGCGTTAACTGGGTTGCAAAGCCTTGGCTGAGGGCTGGCTGACGCTCGGAGGCTTGTTTACAGTGGAAAGCACCTTAACCTTATCAGTGCCTGGAACACATCTGACCAAGGCATCTGTTCACCACGAATTCTCGGCCAATTGAATCTGCACAAACACAACACTGCCATTGTTCAGAGATAGTGAAAAAAAAAATAGTAGTTGTCCTACTTGTTGGCTTTTATGCCATTAAATTTTGTTTTGTTCTTACTGAAAGCTTTGTTTTGTTTTGTTTTCCTGTGAAAGCAAGGTTTGCTCATTGCAGAAATAAACAGACAAAAAGGAGCATATGAAAGAACCCATCAGCTCATCTGCTAGTTCGCCATTTATTGGTTGGGACTAACCAGATTCATTCCCTTGGAAGATTTCCAGGATTGATTCTCCTGGTCTCTCAGTTCTGGAGCAGGATTCGGAGGAGTGAAAGTTAATGGACCTAGATGTGATATGTAACAGGTTCTAGGATAAAATTGAAACTGCTTTTCTGTATGCCTGCTTCTTCAGACAGCTCTAGCTCTGTGTGGAGCACAAAGGCCTCCCATGTCACTTTTCCCCCTAAGAATTTAGCAGGTTTGCAATTGTGGGGTGGGTTTTGCATGTTACTTTTCTACATAACAACATATATGAGGATTAGTTGTTTGAAAACTCGGTGATTAGGCCTCCACCTGTGATGCTGGCTGGCATTCAGTGTGGGTGCCGGGGTTCGAGTCCCAGCTGCTTCACTTCCAATCCAGTGCCCTGCTAGTGTGCTTGGGAAAGCAGTGGATGATGGCCCATGTTTGGGTGTCTGCTTCTTCTGAGTGGGAGACCCAGAAGAAATTCCAGGCTCCTGGCTGCAGACCTACCCAGCTCTCAGTATTGGTAGGTGTTTGGGGGAGTGAATTAGGGGATGGACAATTTCTCTAACTCTACAGAAGACTGCAATGATCGAACTTGGAGCTTCTTGCCAGTCTCCCGATGGGTGCAGGGGCCCAAGCACTTGGGCCATCCTCCACTGCTTTCCCAGGCCATTGACATGGGTAATGCTAATGCTGGATCATAATACAAGGGACTGGATCAAAAGTGGGGCAACAGAAGACTCCAGCCAGTGTCCATATGGGATCCTGGCACCGTAGGCTGAGGCATAGCCTGATTTACCATTGAGCCAGCCCCCCAAAAGCTCAGTAATATTTGTAAGGTGCATACTATGTACCTAGTACTATGCCTAGGTGCTGTAGAGGCTACTTGTAAAGAAAAATCTGTCCTGTAGGTACGGTCTGATTGGAGTTAGGGCTGTAGCTGTGCCAGTTTCTCTTTATAATCGTCCTGTACCCTTAAAAAAAAAGCCGCTTTATGTCAAGTACGAGAAGCAGTTCTTAGAGTCTACATGGTGGTCTTTTTCACAGAGATTAAGTTATGCTAATATTTACTTGAATGAATTATAATTGACTAGCGAAGTTTCTGAAAAGTTCCATGATTAGGGGATGGATAAAAAGGATAGTGAATGAAAGTACTTTCCTGACAGTATTACCTAATTATGTTCACTTTGTGACATCCTAGATTTTAGACTTCTGTTTTTATTGATTATTAGAAATAGCTTGATTTTTTAAGGGTTGAGGTATTTTTTTTTAAAGATTTATTTATTTATTGGAAAGTCAGATATACAGAGAGGAGGAGAGACAGAGAGGAAGATCTTCCATCCATTGGTTCACTCCCCAAGTGAGCACAACGGCCAGTACTGTGCCAATCCAAAGCCAGGAACCAGGAACTTCTTCCGGGTATCCCACACGGGCACAGGGTCCCAAAGCTTTGGGCTGTCCTCGACTGCTTTCCCAGGCCACAAGCAGGGAGCTGGATGGGAAGTGGAGCTGCCGGGATTAGAACTGGCGTCCATATGGGATCCTGGCGCGTACAAGGTGAGGACTTTAGCTGCTAGGCCACGCCGCTGGGCCGGAGGTATGTTTTTTTTAACCATTTAGGCTTTTGGATGGGAAAAACCTGCCACAGATACCTTTTGGTAAACTGCACTGGCAGAATTCCCTCTCTCCCACAAATATTTATTAAATGTCATTAAAAACAGTTGTTTTGTTTATTTTACTTGAAACTCAGAGAGTGAGAGAAAGATTTTCAATCCATTGGTTTTTCTCCAAATGTCTGGAAAGGCCAAAGCTGAAACCAGGAGCTTTTTCTGGTTCTCCTGTGTGAATACAGGGGCCCAAGGCCTTGGACCGTCCTTGCACTGCTTTCCCAGGCCATTAGCAGGAGTAGTGTTGATGCTGAATCAGAATGCAGGGAGGCTGAATCAGAAGTGCAGCAGCCAGGACTCAAACAAGGACCCATATCTGATTCCAGCACAGCTTGTGGGACATTAGCTTGCCGTGCTACCACAGGGGTGTGGGGAGGCTAAATGTCTTTGATTCCAGTCGCTATACCAGGTGAAAGGGGGAGAATAATCCTTAAGATAGATGAGGTCACAGCAGTCATGGAGCTTACACTGTAGTGGGGAAAGGCAGCCCAACAAGTGAATTATGTAATTTCATATAGTGATAAGTACTGTGAAGAAGATAAGGCAGGTAATGAGGAAAAAGAATGAGCAGAGGATAGGAGTAGGCGATGAGGCTGACCCCGTTGTGTAGTAAGTATGTAGGGAAGGGGCCTTGCCTTGTTGGGTAGCATATGGCAAGAGACCTAGGTGTGTTAGAAGGAGGCCAGCCATGTGACCATTGGGGAAAGAGGATTACATTTTGTCATTCCAAAAACTCTTCAGTGATTATTATTGCCACTCTTCTCAGTTCTAGTTAGGAGTCTGTTATGATTTTATTTGTTATTTATTTATATAAAGATTTATTTATTTTTATTGGAAAGCCAGATATACAGAGAGGAGAAGAGACAGAGAGAAAGTTCTTCTGTCCTCTGTTTTGCTCCCCAAGTGGCCAAAACGGCCAGAGCTGCGCTGATCTGAAGCCAGGAGCCAAGAGCTTCTTCTCGGTCACCCATGCGGGTGCAGGGTCCCAAGGCTTTGGACCGTCCTCTACTGCATTCCCAGGCCGCAAGCAGGGAGCTGATGGGAAGTGGAGCAGCCAAGATTAGAACTGGTGCCCACATGGGATCCTAGCAAATGCATG